CGCTGGAGGGGGGCCAGCTCTCTGCCGATATCTCCATCCTCGAGATCGGTGAGCATCGGCACCGTCCTGCCGCCATGCCGGGCACGCGTGGGGCACGCAGCTCAGGGGGTGGCGCTCGGGGCAGTCCTGGGTGCCTTGCAGAACACCCCCTGCGCAGCGCCAGGCACGGTCATAGTGAGGGACCAACACCTCAGCTCTTGGAGCAGCCCCGAGCCCATCCCCTCCTCCAGGCTGAGCACTGGTGGAGCTCGGTGCACCTGAGGTTGTGTGGAGCATCTCTCAGGGACAACCTCCAACACCCCCGTGACACTGCGTGTGAGCCCCTCTACCCCTCCAGCAGCCCCCTGCAACACCCAGGAGAGGATGGCATGGGCATGTGGGGATGGGGGGCTGGCGGCGTCGCCGGGGCTCACCATCCGCTGCCCTCGCCTTGCAGACCGGGTGGCCCAGAACGTGGTGAAGTCGCACCTGGAGACGTGCCAGTACACGACGGAGGAGCTCAAGCGCCTGGCGTGGAGCCTCTACTCCCCGGAGGAGGTCCGCGCCTTGCAGAGCAAGGTGAGCCCCGCGGCCACAGCCCCCCGCTCCCTGCCACGGCCACCGCAGCCCTCGGTGAGGGCCACCGCTGTCCCCCAGCGCAGCGCCGAGGCAGGGAGGAAGGCGAGGAGGAGGAGGAACGGGGTCTTTAGGTGCTTTGGGAGGGGCAAAAGCCCAGTATGGTGGGAGGGACAGTGGTGGGTGGCAGGTCACACCCCAGGTGTCCTAGTGCCACCACCCCAGTGGACAGCACGGCTCCTGGGTCCCTTCGCCGCCCCGTGCCATGGGGAAGGGGGCACAGGGGAGCCAGGGAGACAGGGTGGCAGCTAAGGGCCATCCCCGCTGTGCCAGCAGAGCTGCGAGGCCATGTGGCAGCTTTACCCCATCCAGTACGTGGTGGAGTTCGCCAAACGCATCGACGGCTTCATGGAGCTCTGCCAGAACGACCAGATCATCCTCCTGAAAGCCGGTAAGAGCAGGGGACCCCGCCGTCCCCGCCACGTCCCTGCTGTCCCCCCGTGTCCCTGCCATGGTGCCCCCAAGGCAAATCCCATCTTTTCTCTTGGCTAGCGCTTTCCTTTCGGGATCTCCCCCCGCCCTGTCGCTGCCCCGGTTGCCCCCAGGCTTGGCATCGGTGCTCGGGGGCAGGTGTCTGGGTAGAAGGTGTTGAAGGTGGTTTTTAAAGGTGACGGTATAGAGAGGGACGTGGGGAGCAGCCACCCTGGGCAGAGGCTTTTCTCCGTGGTCGCCCTCAGCTGAATGTCACCCAGGAACCGGGATGGAAACAAGGCCAGAGGGATTTCCCCCGGGAAAAGGGGTGCCAAACCCAAAGGGGAGCAGAGAGGGAGAAGAGGCAACTCCAGCTCAGGCTGGGAGGAGGAAGACAATGGCAGCGCACTCCTGTGTCCCCCACCCGTCTGCCCGAGCCCGCGCCGCTGTGCCCAGGCAAGGGGGCTGAATGTGCAAAAGCCCCAAAATGCTAAAAAAGGTGGAAAAGCTGCCCAGTTTCTAAACTTTAGGGGCTGGGGAGCTGAGAGCCTCCCCCAGCACAGGGGATGTGTGCGGGGTGCTGTACCCCAAAGCCAGAGCTGGCTGTGCCCCACACGCTGGAGTTTAACTCGTTCTTTCGTTTCTTCCTTCCATTTTATTTTGTTTCCACCCTCTCCTCTCTTGGTGCTCCACCACGACCTCAACTCATCTCTGTGTCCGGCTGCAAATGACTGGATAATATTTCCTTTTGGTGAAATATTGTGGTTGCAATTGGCAACCTTCAAAAAAACCCCAAACCTCAAATTGGATTTATTGGAATAACCATTCTGCTCTTGGGAACGAACAATCTGGACATCAAACTTGCACTGGGGACTTTCCTCTTTCGTACATTTGGTCCTGGGATGCTGGAAACCCCCCTGCCCTGCCCTGCCCTGCCCTGCGCTCTCTCTGCCCACGCCAGGTTGCCTCGAGGTGCTCCTGATCCGCATGATCCGCGCGTTCAACCCCTTGAACAACACCGTCCTCTTCGAGGGCAAGTTCGGCGGCGCGCAGATGTTCAAGTCGCTCGGTAAGAGCCGCTTCGCTGCGCCCCTCGGGGTTCTGCGCTCCCTTCGACGCCCGGATGGGGCTGGGGTTTGCAGCCGGGTGAAACGTGGCATCGCTGCGGCTGGGCTAAATCCCGGGGGGCCAGGAGGGGGTGAGACCCCCGCTGTGCTCGCTCCCACTCCCATTGGTATGGGGTCAGGACCTGCTTTCTGCCCCAGCCCGAAGCCCAGCGACACCGGGCATCCTCTGCCAGGGACCCTTCCTTCATCCATCTCGTCTCCCAGAAAGCTTTCCGAGCCCTGGGTGCTGCTGAGATGGGCTGGTGG